TACTGAGCCCTGGGGACACCACTGGTGACTGGCTGCCAACTGGATTTGACTCCATTCACCACCACTCTCTGGGCTCGGCCATCCAGCCAGATTTTAACCCAGCGGAGCGTGCACTGGTATTTGTCACATGGGAGTAAGAAAACCCCAACCAACCAAGAGCACCAGCATATCCCAGGAAATGAAACAAAACGAACCGCACAGCTTGTTCCACTGCAAAACACCCCGTCCCCTTTATACCTCATCTGCGACAGTACCGGCGGCGTGCGAACGGACAGGCCTCTACACACGGACTCGTGCGTGCTGCAGGTTGTGTCTCTGCTGCCTGTACCGTCACCTCGAATCCGCCTGCTGCAGGGCTCGAGGCCGCTGCGTCCACGCGGATGCATTCAAGCCAGTCCTGACCTCAAGCTCGCCCCGAAGTCTCCTGCAGAGACTTGCTGGAGGGCCAGAGGGCCGGTAGCCACGTCAGCCATCGGGGAGGTTCGGTTTGACCATCAGCAAACGTCCGGAGCGAGGAGGAGGACGGAGGGCAGGGATACACCCGCTGTGCTTCCAGACGCTGGCCTGGGGGTCAGCGGAGCTGAGCTCCCGCTTCCCCAGGGATCAGCGCCTGCCTGGGCTCCTCCGGCTACCGGCTCTTCGGCGACAGCTTCGGGGGCAGAATCAGACTTCAAAGGGTGCTAGAAGGCGGCTGAGCTCTGTGGCAAGGCCACCCTACCGCCTGCAGAAAGGTGAACCTTTTAATACCGGCTATTTCATGCAGCAGATTTAAATACCGACATAATAAAAGCTCCCTCTAAACCAGAGAGACTTCCACCGTCACGGAGCTGGAGACCCTGCCTGCCTTCCTCCCAGCCAAACACAAAGCCCTCCGTATCGATCGCGCCTGCAGCGGCAACTGGTGCGCTGCGTGGATGCGCGCTCCCACCCACCCCTTCCCGCAAACACCGATGGTTATGGTGTCAGCTCGGGTCAGGAGGCTGTGAAATGTCACCAACAACGGCCCGAAAGGACAACAGAGCGACGACTTCGTCTCGCGGTCTGCTGGGCACACACATGCTGACCACAAGGCGATAAGGTCCTGGAGGGGTCAAGCGAGTCGCTGAATGGGCCACAAAAGGCCAGGGACGCGGGGTGAGGGGCGAGCTCGCGGGGGCTTCCCTTAAAAGACCCCCAGCGCCGCACAAGGGGGTGGCTGTTTCAGCAGAGAGGGGCCTTGGTGGTTAATGGCTTTGGCCCCGGGGGCAGGGCACGGAGGGAAGGAAGCGCTGGGGAGAGTAAATGGAGAGTTAGTAAAAAGGCAGGTG